TTCAGTTACACTGGCTATAGCTCTGAGCGTGCCTGGCCTAGATTTTGTGAGTCAAAAACCACTTGATGGCTTTGGAATGGAGTCACCTCAGAAGGTCACATCCTAAAGCTTCTTCCAGAGCTCCCAGCCCCAGAGCAGCTGGCTTGTCTCCAGCTGTGGCAGAACCCCAGCACAGCCCTCCTTGCACACCCTGGGAACTGCAAGGGAGATCACTGCTGCAGGGCAATATCTGCATAATACATGGGGTGAATTTTAAAGCAATTATTAATTTACACACCTAAAAATCCCCTAATACAAAATTAATTTTGCCCTAAGCTTTTCTGTATTTATCTTAACAGTCCTGACTGCATTTTTTATGAGCACCTGGCTGATGGAGGTGTTAATGGAAGGGCAGTGCCACTTGTGTGCCAGGTCTGGCTGTCACCTGTCAGCACCACCCAACAGCATTGGGCTCAGAGTCCCACCAGCAGCTGGGCTGGTGCTGGTCTGCAGGGACCTCACCTCAGGCAAAACGCCCCGAGTCCAGCCCACCCCAGCAGCAAAGCCAGAGCTGACTGGGCACAGGCTGTGCCAGGGGCCGTGCCCTGGCCTCCCACTCAGAGCCAGGCTCTCAGAGAGGAGGGTTCTTAGTTGGGGGTCATGGGTAAGTCATTCAGACTCTAGCTTTTTAACTAGAAAAAAAAGCCTAAAAGTGTTAAAAAGAGTGAGTCTCTTACAATGCCAGTCTTGTGCAGGGCACGTGTGTGTGGGACTTGGGTGTACACTCCTCCCTACCCTCTGATGTGCTGCCTCTGCAAGAGTCCCCTGGTTCCCTGTCCTCCACCAACACCATCCCCTTTTGCTACCAGAACACTTCTTTCTGATAACAGAGATGCAGCTAGAGCAGGATGATTTAACACATAAAAAGAAGGTGACACTGAAGACTGTTGCCCGCACACCAGCATGTCCAGGGCACCATGAGTTTGGGTTTGTCTCAGAGTTTCTTTCACAGCCTGTAATTCTAAGTGTTGTCTAGACCTCACAGTGTGTTCAGTGGGTGTTGGAGAAACAGCTGCTGGGCTTGTTTGGTTTTTTTTTTAAAAAAACAACAGTGTTCATTGATAGTCTTAAAAAATTAATCTCAGCTTACCTTGTTAGATGCCTGCTTAATTCATGAACTTCCATTTCAGTGCTTTTAAATTCATTAAGCTCTTTTCGAATGGCTGCCTGCAAAGGAGAAATAAACTCATGAATGTATAAATGAGAGAGAGCAAAAGAAGTTCACTTTGTTCTCCAAACAGTGCATTAAAAATGAAGCAGATCTATAACATTATTGGAGGGATAGATAACATTATCAGAGAGAGAGAGAGGAAAACATAAAAGAAGACTTTAAAATGTGGAATGGAACAGAGATAAACATGTTCTAAATCGTGTAAAGGGAAGAGATAAGTGCTTTGGCAGAATGGCTCAATTTGGAAATGCACTGTAGGCAATGCAGATGCAGAACTCAATCCTGGCTTATTATGTTAAAAAAAAGTTGCCCCCCAGTTTCTCAAACACTGTGACCTGTTTCAGAGCTGGACTGTGAGTTTACTGGGCCTGAACCCTGCCAGGCACATAGCTGGGATGGCTCCTGCCTTTCTGTGGTCCTGAATGTCCTCAGGTGAGGTGCTCGTCTGCCCTCCTCCTCCTCCTCCTCCTCCTCCCTCCTGACCTTGCTGTGCCAGCTGCTGAACTGATCCAATGCACTAATCCAGCAGAAACTGAGCCACAGGCCAGTACTCAGTGGCCACAGAGACCCAGTTACCTGCAGCTCATGGCCACAAGGGAAAAGAAAACCAGGGGTGACTGGCAGGAAGAGAAATAGGAAAGAATAGAAAAAGGGAGGGGTGACACAGAGGGTCTCAGCTCTGAGGTAGAGATGGCACTCAGAACTGGCTCAAGCCCCAAACTCCCTTCATCTTAGAGACGTCTGCCAGGCGGTGCCTCCATCCCTGGGGCCAGACCAACGGCCCCGCAGCGGCCCCAGGGCCTGCCCTCCCCACACCAACCTGCTGCTCAAGTGACTCTGAGGGAGGCAACGTGGGCTGCTGACTCCCACAGGGTCCAAAATCTGTCCCCCTGCATCCCTCGCCTCCTGGAGAGACTCACAAGTTCCCTTTTCAGGCCTCTAAGAGCTGTTATGGATGAAGTCAGACTGAAGGCAGCACCCAGCAAGATTTAGTGTCAGACAGAAAGTCCATGACTGAAATCTAGTTTTGCACTACATTCAGCCTGTGCTGACCCGTGAAGATGGTTATTGAATCAAAGCTCTGGAAGAAAATAAGCTTTTCTAGGGTGTTGCAGCTCTGTCAGGCATTTTAGGATTGCTTCCAAATTGTCTGGCTGTTTTTTCCAACAGGGGGGACAGTGGTGGGGAAAAGCAGGTCGGCTGGCCAGCAGCCATCAGAGTACCACCCATGTGACCCATAGGAGGGAGGTTAATTCCCTCCCTCAGTTACCAGCTGGGAGGGGTAACAAAGTCAGTTGAACAAGATCTTGTCCAACCTGGTGAGGTAAAATGGGTCAGGCTGATTTAACCCCGTATATTATGGTCTGTGGGCAGTCCAGAGGAAGGTTTTTGTTTTTTTTTTCAGATCAGTTTATGCTACATTAACTGATCCAAAGCCAAACTGAAAAAGCCATGTGCCAACCAAGAGAAAAAGTGGTCACAAAACTGCCCAAGCCCTCTGGTTAAGTGATACACGTAGAACAGGCTGCCCTGTCCTCTGAGAGCAAACCCAAGAGCACCCTCAGTGAGTGGCATGGCCAGGAATCCTCCTCCTGTCTCTGAACACTGGACATCATGGTCTCCATCACTACATCAACCCCACAGCAAAGAAATAGGTACCTCAAAGCCTTCAAACTATCAGCCTCCTAGTCCTCGGTTCTTACAGTGGCCATAAAGTGTTTTAAGTCTTCTTCCCCAGGCACCACGAAGAGCCTCAGGATGTGACTCACAATCTGCCTGCCGTTTAACCCTCTGTCCTGGCAGAGCCACTGAATTCACAGAGTGCTGGCAGGTGGAGGTTCACTCCGTGGGACCCAGGGGGTGCTGTCTGCTGTGCCACGCTCCAGCCGTTCACACCACGGCCCTCCCAGAATCTCTCCACTTACTTTGTCGGCGGCGGTGAGCCGTGTCCAGGGTTTGTCTGCCCTCCTGTCGTAGTCCTGCGCGTCCGCCACCTCCACGTAGTCGCTGAAGCGGATGAGGATCTTCCTCTCACGCAGCTCCTCCACCGTGGGCCTCTGGCTCAGCTGCAGGATTGGGGAACGAGTGGAAAAAGACATCAGGACTTCACTTCTTCCCTGCAGGGTGCTGCTCGGGGATTTATGTTACTGCAGCCATTGTTGTCACGGTAAGAGGGTTCAGCTACTCCCGGTGTCATTGTTTCTATCAACACTTGACAGAACTACTACCAGGGAGATGATAACCTCTTGTTAGAGCTCCTTGACTATCGTCCCACCCTGCTGCTGGAGCAGCCCACGGCTTGCTGCTGGGGAAGCAGCTGTGGCTGGACACCCCGGCTGCTGGGTGAGGCTGAGCACCCTGGCAGGAGTGAGGTGGGATGCAGGAAAGTCTCCTACTTCTCCTACTTCACTGACATCTCAGGAAGAGAACACAACCACAGCACAGCCTGAAAAGTCCCAGCTTGGGCTGTACACTCCTCAGCCTGGAGCTGCTGCCTGTGCTTCTCTGCTGCCCAGCAGAGGCACCCAGCAGCTCCTGCCCTGAACTACGTGCTGAAGGTGACAGGTGACCCCCTGCCCATTCTGACAGGCTGCAGCCTTGTCCTTGCCTCCAGAACAGGCAGGCACCCAACACTGGCCTGGCTGCTGCAGCTGCTTTGTGTCGCTGCCTATTTGGCTTTTAACACTTTACACTGCATACCACAAGCCAAAGTACAACAACAAAGTCGCCAGGGTGGGTTGTAGCTTGTCCAGAAAGCAGCTCTGTTGTTCCAGAGCATTTCTTGCAAATCCTGCAGCCATGGTCAAAATTCCCTTCTCAAATTCGTAGCGTGCCAGTAGTCCAGGCCCATGGCTAGGGACAGGAACTGGCTGGCAGGGATCAGTTCTCCTTGAATGCTCAGCATGCTGGTTAGTGTCAAAAGCAATGACACAGAGTCACAGGATCATTAAGGTTGGAAAAGGCCTCTAAGATGATCAAGTCCAACAATCACCTGACACTACCATCACCACTAAACCTTGTCCCCAGGTACCACCTCTACCAGTTTTTTTGAACCCCTCCAGGGATGGTGACTCCAGCACCTCCCTGGGCAGCCTGGGCCAATGCCTCACCACTCTCCCAGGAACAAAATTCTTCTTAATATCCAACCTAAACCTCCCCTGGTGCAACTTGAGACCATTTCATCTTGTCCTATCACTAGTAACTTGGGAGAAGAGCCCAACACCCACCTCACTACAATCTCCTTTCACGTAGCTGTTGCATCATAAGGTGCTACATGTATGGGTGCATGTGGCTGTGCATTAGCTGCAAAAGTTCCACCATTAGAGTGAAACATCTGTAATCACACATCAGGAAGAATAATGCCCCACTGACAATGAGCTGCGTGGGGTATTGTGCTGTTCCCATGCACTGGAACCAGGTGTGTGCTGCAATACTCCACCCTTGTGAATAGTGGAAGGTGGAAATATTTCATCAAATGCTCGAGACTATTCGGCAAAGTTCTTTAGGCTCCTGAATCCTGACGTGCAATTCCACCTTCTTCCCAGATGAAGTATCCAAGTTCCCTGCAGGATTCAAAGCAGCCAGGATACCAAGTGGAGGGTGAAAAACCTCTTCTTAGAGAAGACACACAGGAAGAACGTTCCTCCTGTTTCTTCCCAAAGCTGCCCAAGAAAAACCCCATTACACGTGCTGACGCTGGGGCCAGCCAGAGAGCTGGGCTGCAGGGAGCTCACCAGGGAGCCTGACTTCTGAACCCAAGGCTACACATTTTGGGGACCTCTTTTTTATAAAAGCAAAATGGATTTACAGCACACGTAACTTTTTTGGCTTTTTTTTTTTTAGACAACAGGGTAAATATATCTCTGAGCTGGAGGAGCATGTCAGAAAAGCCAGAGGGCACAAGGAAGTGGATCAAGGCACACAGAGATTAAAACCCATTATTTCTCCTCCCAACAGAACAGGATTGCCTCTTCAGCCTGCAGCCCTGACACTACACCTGAGTCGCCTGCAAGCCCAAGACATCCTGCAGTTAATAGATGGGCTTTTCACAAACTGAGGAAACCCAAAGTGCTGCACCGTGCTCGGAGCAGAATCACAGTTACACGAGGAGTGAGGCTCCTCTCTGTCCCAAACCCACCCTCAATGTGATTTCAAACCAGTAGGTTTTTCCAGCAGCCCCAGTACTGCAGGTTTGTTTGTTAGCACTGACAGGTTATTATTCAGACAGCACACCAGAGTTTTGCTTCCAGTTACTTAAAATCCAGCCCCTCACTATGGGAGGAGAGAATCTTGAGGATTTAAAATCTATATTATAATTTATAATATTATTACACCCCAAAACTTCAAAGATAAGGGTGAGACTTCATCTTTAATTGGACCAACTGCTCCTTTTCTCCTAGCAGCATGAATTAAGGCTGAATCACCAATATCATCTGCACATTTCTCAGCATTTCTCATTTTAGGCCATAGATGTTGTTTCAGAAGGGGATTTTTTTTTGTTGGTTTTTAATGCCTTATTACATTGAGTAAGACAACACCAACAAAATACAAAATCCTGTGAATTAAACCATGTGTTTCTAAATGGCTACAAGGGCAGCAGGAACCCCAACAGCTTTCCCAGCTGGAAGAGGACTTTCAAAAAAGGACTGGCTCTATTTCACAGCTCCTGTCAGCTCCTGACACTCTCTGGTGTTGACCTCCACGCTGCACTGGGCCTTAAACAGCTAATGTGGCTTCCTTGGTGTGCTGGGTGTGGGCTCAAATCAAGGAAATGATGTTAAGGAGAATGTTAAGAGCCATGTGATGAAATGAGACACAACTGAGGTAAGTTCTCGTGTTTGCAAGTGCACAAAGATCCCACTGGTGCCTCCCTGGCACACTTGGCACCACTGATGCTCGCCGGAACCCTTTGGTGGGTGTGAAGAATGGGGCACTGAATTATACAGGCAGAAATGCCAAGGGCACAAGCACATTATGAAACTGGGTGTTCATGTGCATTTTTCATTCTTAGGTGACACCTGAACCTAGGACAGACTAAAAGCTGCTGCTTCCCTTCCTGTGAAGTCCAACAACTGCTACTGTGTATTATCTTTAGATGCCCTGCCTTGGCTAGAGGAGCCTATGACCAGTGTGATGTCAGGAACTCCTCCACCCCATCAGGGGTGGGCAGTGGCTCCAGCCCCCTCAGCAGTCAGAGCACAGAGCCTGAGCAACCAGCTCCAGGGCCCCAGGAGGCCTGGGGCAGATCCATGAGCAGAGGAGAGATGCACTCACAGCCAGTGCTCTGGCTACGAGGGTCCTGAGATCCACAGCTTACCCCACGTAGTTCATGTGCACATAGAAATCTACACAGATTTACATCTATGAATACATACACACAATATAGATTCAGTACATTACACAGCAGATACTAAATGCAAAGAGAGGGACAGCCATGCTGGGTGATCTAAAAGCAGTTAATTAAAGGTATGCTATTTGAATGGTTAACAGACTGCCCTGCCTCCTCCTCGTGCCACCTTAGAGATTTCTGGTGAGCTGCTGAGCACGAGGGCCCCTCCCTAAGTCTGGGCTACCCAGAGCACCCTTAACTCCTACACAGCTGGGGAAACAGCTTTGCACAACAGACTCCACTGTAGGTGTCAGCTCAACGTCTCTTCACACTGAGAGCAGAGCTCACCTGACATCTCACCTTGGAGTTTAAGAGCAGCAAGCTGTGGTCTCTTGGGTCAAAAGTGCTTAATGCTACAACAGTCCTTCTCGGGCAACACCAGAGAATGAGCTCTGCTTCCAGCAGGGAGAAAGAGCTGGGCACATTTGAAGCTTACACTGAAAGGACACAGTCAAGGACACGATGCAATTGCCTGCACAAGGTGGTGGTGCTCCAAGCTGGGAGAAAGGGACCTTCCTGAACTGGGCCCTCACCAGCCTGTGTTAATGTCTAAGGGATGTGCCCGTGTGTGTCTGGACTCCTGCTGGGTGTGCCACCCGGGCACTTGGGAAGGTCTGTGAGCCAAGGGAGCAGGTAACTTTGTATAACCTCATTGAGTGTGCCCAGGGCAAAAAGCCCTTTCCAAGTAAATGGATTTGTACTAATAGAAGAGCAGTCTACATAAGGCAGGACCTCCCATGTCTCCTCACGGGAGGTCAGGTTCTCCTCTGTATATTCTGGAGATAAAAATGGGCATGCTTCAAGCTTCATACTAGGGAAGGGAAAAGGGAAGGTTTCACACAACCCCTTTGTCCTGGCATGGGAACTGAAGCAACCCGCCACCAGGTAGAGAGGAGGGGGAGGAACTCCTGTGAGCTTGGTCTCAGGATTTAGTCAAATACAAAATGCTGACTGGGCTGCACCTCAGGCACAAACAAGCTCATTGTCTTGTCCCTTCCCTTGCCTGCTTTGTGACCTCATTAAAATGTTATGTTGTTACTCAGGGAAGAAATCAAGGTGAAAAAATCCAGATCCTAACTAGCAGTGCACACAACCCCCTCTCTGCTTTGCTCCCCACCTCTTGTGGTAAGACACAGGAGCAAGATGTGATGCAAATGCCCTGAAGACCTTTCCCTCTATGGATAAATACAGGTTATCCAAATGAGCTGCTAACCTTTTTTCTTCCCTGACCTTTCCCCTCTCCCCTGCCTCCCCCTGCCAAGTGCCACCTCTCTGCAGAGTTCATTATTTCGAGCAGCCTGTGCTGATGCAAGCCAGGTCAATTAAAGGCAAGATGGAAGAGTGAGACATTTGCCTGGGAGGCCACCAGTGAACAGAGAGTTCAACTTGTACCGGGGCAGGAATTTAATGGGAGCAAAGATTTCAGATTATTGCAAGGGTTTTAAGAAACAGTCACATCTTGTAATTTTGGTGGTTGTTATTACAGCATGGAGATTTTTAGTTTTGGAGCTTGACCTTGGGGAAAACTTGGCTATTGACAGTGGGGGATAGGAAGCAGTGAACAGCTGTGGGGAACGGGGAGCACGATGCCATTTGGGAGAAGAGAATGTAGGAAAATAAAGAGTTTTATTCCTCTTTGCAAGTGATTTGTAAGGTGTTCTGTTCCTCCAGGCTAGGTCTCTCTCTGTGCAGTGGAAGTCCCCGGGGAATTCAGGCTTGTGTTAATTGCTTTGGTGCTCGGCCAAATTCACTGTGGTTTAGAGAGGATAAATTCTTAGTAGTGATTCCTGGGGGCCCAGATCTCCTCGTGGAGGGGACCTGCTTGCCACACTTCTCCCAGAGAGCCTCTGCACATTAATATTCCTGCAGTGGCCTTGTGGGACAAGGAAAAAAAATGTGGATTAGGGAAAAACCCTTCCTAATCCATGTTTCTCCACTCAGATGAGGCAAGTCCATGCCCAAAGCTGCTTGGTGGGCCCTGAGGGGCATGGAGAGGGAGCACACTGCTGGCTGGATGTGCAGAACCCATCCATGAGCACCTCAGGGGACAGGCAACTACATTTCACCTCTCCTTCCTTGGACAGGAGGGACACGAGCTACAGAGAAACTGCACCAAGCATCATTTGCCTCCATTCTGCTCTTTAAATGACAGCTATTCCCTATCCCCAGTTAATTTGGAGTTAGAGGAGTCTGAATCGTGCATTCAGGGGCAGCTTGCTATAGGTCACCTGATTTTCTAGATTTTTTTTTAGAAATTGCTTGTCCAGATGATGAATTCAACTGGATATTTACTGCTGACTTTAATAAGGGATCTAGACCTAGCGAGGTAATCTTACTTATTACAGCATGTCATGTTACAACTTATCTTCATAATACTGTAACAAAATGTCAGCACTGAAGGAATTTTAAGAACACCTTTTAAATGGATGAGGTGGGTTGTTCCCAGTGGAGCAACTCCACCAAAAAAAACCAGGGACAGCAGCAGTTTCTATAGTGCAAGGTCAAAAGTCTTGTCAGTGGCTTCTGCAGAACCTGCTTCCCTTCTGATTACCACGTGGCAGCCTCTGTTGAATTTACCCTGGGGCTGGGTGTGCATTAAACCCCCGTGCAAACAGAAGGGTCTGCTGGGCAAAACACGGGCTGTGCTCAGTGAAACTTCTCTTTCACCTGAGGTTTGAAACCCGTGGGTAACAAGGCTGCAGTGCCAGCTGACAGGAGGAGTCAGACACCCTGCTGTAGACACGATGGCACATCTGGGAGGTGCTCAGGACAGGAGACAGAGCTGGGGAATAACAGCCAGTTCTGCAGGAGTCACTAGGTGGCTGGCATTTCTAGTTGTCACCTATCCACATGCACACTTTAGTCACTTCCTTCCTCCAGTGATTTCTCAGCTTTTATGACGGTATGTTTGGTAGGTGAGAACAAAATTTGTCATTAGACCAGACCTGTGGTTCTTTCCTTAAAACTCCCTGTGCCACCAGGGCAATTTCCAATGGTTTAAAAAGATGAACCCTATCAAAAATGCTAAGCCACGTTTCTACCAGCCTCACAGACGTGGGGGAGAAAAACCTTTACTAGGGAAGAAGCCAAAAAAGACCAAAAGGAATGTGACTGGAGGTATGAATGTTAAGGAACCAGCTGCCAGGGGCTGGGGCTGCTGCTGCTCTCCCCGAAGTGCAAACGAGGCAAAGAAAGAAATCTCAGAGGAAGCTGCTGAGCTCTGGGGGAGCAGACACTGCTGTGATGCTGCAGCAGCTCGGTGTGGCTGGGGCCTCTGCCTGCAGAAGACAACTCGTGTGCTCTGCCCCTTTCCCTGGCAGGCAGCAGGCTGGGTGTGGGGAGCTTTGCTTTGTAGCTGTGACAGCTGTCCATCAAATGGCACCAAGCTTTGGGTGGGATTCCTGTCTGTGGTTACCCTTCCGTGGGAGGGAAATGGAAAGCCTGGCAGGGTGGGATTTCTGTGTCCTGGGAAACATCTGCAATGCAGGTAGGATCTTTCCTTCAAGGCAGTGCTATGAGGGGATGCCAGACCATCCCTGCCTTAAATCTCAGGGATTTAAGTGTGTTAAAAACAATATTACAGCTCTCTGGGATGCATTCTTAGCTCCTGCAGACAACAGGAGTTTGAATTCCTCCTTTGGTGACTGAGAACTCTGCTGATTTCCCTGAGCTGAGATTTTTGCTCTAAATGCAACCTTTCCATCTATATGTAAAACCCTTTCCTTGTCATCTCTTATACCACGAAAGCTTGTGATCACATAGGTCAAAAAGACTAAGCCACCTAAAAGTGTGCAGGGAGGGGGTGGTCCTGCATCACAAGCATGTGAGTTTTTGGGAGGCTTCCTCCACCTTTGGAGACAGGAAATATGTCAGTGGTGAAATAAAGTTAGCTGGCAATAAGAGGATGGTTTGTTGGCTGTGTAGGTTGGGACATCTGTAGACACCTGCACCAGCTGTGAAACTGAATGTGTGTCTGAGAGGACTGTTCTTCAGTTTTAAGAGTAAAAGCCTTTGAAATGGGAGGGAGATGAAGAGCTGTCAGTGTTGTTTGTTCACCCTCCCCTGCTGACAGGAGATTGCTTCCTGCACTACACGCCATTGGTGAGTGACTGTCTCTAGTTCAAATGCCTCAAGTCACAATCTCCCTTTCCAGAAGTTTATTTCCCATTTTTATGCCTTTTTTTTTAGGTGGAATTTTCAAATGCAATAAGCAGTTTCAGCTTTGTTCTCTTTGTAATGGCTGCAGAAGCCATTACACCTCCAGGCAGCAGGGCCAGAGCAGTGCTAGGCTCTCTATCCTTCACTGTTCAAAGCTTTTTCAGCCAGGAAGACCCAATCTTTCTTTGTTCTGTTTCAAGATGTTACCAGCAATAGCCTGCAAAGTGATTCCCTCCACTCTCTGAGGACTTACACCCTGTAACGCTGGTGATTTCTTGTAAAGATTTCTTTAAAGACCTGTTTCACACACTACTTTTGAAAATGGTGCTGAGGAAAATGAAAAGAGGCAAACAACTGTGCAGCAGGGAGAAAGTCACTGTAGCATCATAATAGGATCAAAGTTGCTTCTCACCTTACGTGTTAATCTTCTCTTTATCTCTCGTTTTTCCTCCTGCTCCTCTTGCTCATTCCGGGCTGCAAAAGATTTACAAGGATCTCAGGCTGTGGACTCACCAGGCATGTACAGTATGCAACAAAAGAAGCCTCTCCATCAGGAGATTTCTGTTTCAGGAGCTCTCTGATGCACAGCAGGTCCCCCTGGGGCTGCTGGACTTCCTCGATCCGTAGCTACCACATTTCTTCACACACTCCCCAAACAGCTCCAGCCTCCTTCCCTCCCCTGTGTTGGCATCTCTTCATCTGTGCCACCCTCTGCAAGGGCCAGGCAGCAGCCAGCTCTTCTGAGCAGACCAAGGAGTGTCTTCCCACCATGAGCCTTCACAGCATCACAGTGGAGCATAAAAACACCCTGGGGAATTCACTTTCAACATGAAGCCACAAGATGACATGTTACAAGCTCTTCCCTCAACGGGACAATGACATGTACCTACACTAGCACTGCAGCAGCTTAGGAGCTGGCTGCCATACAGGTCTTTGCACTGAACTTCACTGCAAGTCCCTAGAAGCCCAGGTGCCCAGCTCCTCACTCAGTTAGGGTCATTTCCACTGCTTCACTGATGGCCAGGCTGCTCCTCACTCCAGTCACAGCCATGCGCAGGGGGAGAGCAAACACAGCTCAGCAGCTTTTCCAGCGAGCACCCTGAGCCCCTGGGGAGGTCAGTTTTCACTCAGACAGGAGCACCTGAGGCAGGGATAACTCTGCAGGGGATGTTACAGGTCTGTCACAATGCCCACTGACTTCAG